ACGTGGCGGGGAAGGGGGGCGGTGGGGGCGGTGGGGGCGGGCATGCGCTGGAGCCCCTTAAAAAAATCTGAAAGAAGGCAGCCAGGAGGTGGGGGCTGGGGAATGGGCTCGCTGGGGCCCTGAAACGGGCAGGGGAAGGCCCTCTAAGCGGTGTGGGGGCGGGCATGCGCTGGAGCCCCTTAAAAACAGGCTCTAGGGGGGGACGGGGGAGCCCTGAATCGAGGCCCTCAAACGTGGTGGGGGAAGGGGAACTGGGACAAGCACCGGGACCGAAGAAGGAGTGGGAATACGACAATGTCGCTTTCATGAACAAACAGGACTGGGACAAGTATCGGGGGCGAACCGGAGTGGGATACGTGAGCTCTGAGAGCATCGCTTACAGTGTGGGCGGTGGGCGCGGTGGGGGCGGTGGGGGCGGTGGGGGCGGGCATGCGCTGGAGCCCCTTAAAAAAATCTGAAAGAAGGTAGCCAGTGGCCCCGAAACGTGGCAGGGGGGAGGTGGGGGCGGAATGGGCTCGCTGGGGCCCTGAAACGTGGCAGGGGAAGGCCCTCAAACGTGGCGGGCGGGGGGGGCGGTGGGGGGGGTGGGGCGGTGGGGGCGGGCATGCGCTGGAGCCCCTTAAAAATAAACAGCTGAAAGAAGGAGCCATTGCCCGTGAAAAGTGGCAGGGGGAGGTGGGGGCGGAAGGGCTCGCCTGGGGCCCTGAACGTGGCAGGGGAAAGGCCCTCAACGTGGCGGGGAAGGGGGGCGGATGGAGCGGGCATTCTCTGGAGCCTTCAAAACATCTGAAAGAGGGTAAGCCAGTGACCTTGAAACGTGGCAGGGGGAGGTGGGGGGCGAATGGCTCGCGGGGGCCCTGAAACGTGCAGGTAAGGCCCTCAACGTGCGGGAAGGGTGGTCGGGGGCGGTGTGGGCGGTGGGCGCGGTGGGGGCGGTGGGGGCGGTGGGCGGGCATGCGCTGGAGCCCCTTAAAAACATCTGAAAGAAGGTAGCCAGTGGCCCCGAAACGTGGCAGGGGGGAGGTGGGGGCGGAATGGGCTCGCTGGGGCCCTGAAACGTGGCAGGGGATGGCCCTCAAACGTGGCGGGGAAGGGGGGGCGGTGGGCGGTGTGGGCACGCTGGAGCCCCCGAAAAACATCTGAAAGAAGGTAGCCAGTGGCCCGGAAACGTGGCAGGGGGAGGTGGGGGCTGGGGAATGGGCTCGCTGGGGCCCTGCAACGTGGCAGAAACGTGGCGCGGGGGAGGGGTGGGCGGTGTGGGCGGTGGGGGCGGTGGGGGCGGTGGGGGCGGTGGGCGGTGTGGGCGGTGGGGGCGGTGGGGGCGGGCATGCGCTGGAGCCCCTTAAAAGCATCTGAAAGAAGGTAGCCAGTGGCCGTGAAACGTGGGCTCGCTGCAGCCCTGCAACGTGGCAGGGGATGGCCCTCAAACGTGGCGGGGAAGGGGGGGCGGTGGGCGGTGAGGGAAGTGGGGGCGGTGGGGCGGGCATGCGCTGGAGCCTTAAAAACATCTGAAAGAAGGTAGCCAGGGGGAGGTGGGGGCTGGGGAATGGGCTCGCTGAGGCCCTGCAACGTGGCAGGGGAAGGCCCTCAAACGTGGCGGGGGGAGGGCGGTGGGCGGTGGGGGCGGTTGGGGCCCTGAAACGGGCAGGGGAAGGCCCTCAAACGTGGCAGGGCATGCGCTGGAGCCCCTCCAAAAAAAAAGGGGGTAGCCAGTGGCCCTGAAACGTGGCAGGGGGAGGTGGGGGCTGAGGAGGCTCGCTGGGCCCTGAACGTGGCAGGGGAAGGCCAAACGTGGCGGGGAAGGGGGGGCGTGGGCTGTGGTGGGCGGGTTGGGTGGCGGTTGGGCGGGCATGCCGCTGGTCAGCCCTTCAAAACATCTGAAAGAAGTATAGCAGTGGCCCCGAACGTGGCAGGGAAGTTGGGGGCGGAATGGGCTCGCTGGGGCCCTGAAACCGTTGGCAGGGGAGGCCCCAACGTGGCGGGGAAGGGTGGTCGTGGGCGGTGCGGGCGTGGTGGCGGTGGGTCGGCGGGGGGGTGGGGGCGGGTGGGGGCGGTGGGGGCGGTGGGGGCGGTGTGGGCGGGCATGCGCTGGAGCCCCTTAAAAACATCTGAAACAAGGAGCCAGTGGCCCCGAAACGTGGCGAAACGTGGCAGGAAGAGGTGGGGGCTGGGGAATGGGCTGGCTGGGGCCCTGAAACGTGGCAGGGGAAGGCCCTCAAACGTGGCGGGGAAGGGGGGGCGGTGGGCGGTGTGGGCGGTGGGGGCGGTGGGGGCGGTGGGGGCGGTGGGGGCGGGCATGCGCTGGAGCCCCTTAAAAACATCTGAAAGAAGGTAGCCAGTGGCCCCGAAACGTGGCAGGGGGAGGTGGGGGCTGGGGAATGGGCTCGCTGGGGCCCTGAAACGTGGCAGGGGAAGGCCCTCAAACGTGGCGGGGAAGGGGGGGCGGTGGGCGGTGTGGGCGGTGGGGGCTGTGGGGCGGAATGGGCTCGCTGGGGCCCTGAAACGTGGCAGGGGAAGGGTGGGCGGTGTGGGCGGTGGGGGCGGTGGGGGCGGTGGGGGCGGGCGTGCGCTGGAGCCCCTCATCTCCAAGAAGGTAAAATAGTGGCAGCGGGAGGTGGGGGCTGAGGAACCCTCAAACGTGGCGGGCTCGCTGGGGGTCGCTTAGGGGGGGACGGGGGAGCCCTGAAACGAGGCCCTCAAACGTGGTGGGGGAAGGGGAACTGGGACAAGTACCGGGACGGAAGAAGGAGTGGGAATACGTGAACTTTGAGGGATACGTGAGCTCTGAGAGCATCGCTTACAGTGTGGGCGGTGGGCGCGGTGGGGGCGGTGGGGGCGGTGGGCGGGCATGCGCTGGAGCCCCTTAAAAACATCTGAAAGAAGGTAGCCAGTGGCCCCGAAACGTGGCAGGGGGGAGGTGGGGGCGGAATGGGCTCGCTGGGGCCCTGAAACGTGCAGGGGAAGGCCCTCAAACGTGCGGGAAGGGTGGGCGGTGGTGGGCGGTGGGGGCGGTGGGGGCGTTGGTGGGGTCGGGGGCGGGGGGCATTCGTGGAGCCCCTTAAAAAAAAGCTGAAAGAGGTAAGCCCGTGGCCTGAAACGTGGCAGGGGAGGTGGGGCGAAGGGGCTCGCGGGGGCCCTGAAACGTGGCGGGGGAAGGCCCTCAAACGTGGCGGGGAAGGGGGGCGGTGGAGCGGGCATGCGCTGGAGCCCCTTCAAAACATCTGAAAGAAGCTAGCCAGTGACCGTGAAACGTGGCAGGGGGAGGTGGGGGG